GTGAGTACTTGTCATGCTTTTGTTTCCCTTGTTCTTTTCACCACCTACCTCCGCTCTAAGGGGATTATGCGCTCTTTGAGGGGGGGTACTTAGGGGGATATGTCCTCTAAAGGGGGTGCACTAAGGGGGATATGTGCTCTATAGGGGAGGGCAATAAGGGGGTTATGTGCGAGTTATATTATCTTCCATCATCCATGTGCGAGTTATATTATCTTCCATCATCCATCCATCCATCCATCCATTTCTTATTTTGTTTGGGGATACCGACTATCCTCATTTACGTTACCATAGCAAGAGAACTACGTCCGGCTCAGAAATGGCGATGGCTCTCCTCCCACCCCCTTGTCTCTTCTAGGCATGTTTCAGCTCACTAGGAGAGAAAGCAAGCCGGCCAGGCAGATGGGCGGGTTCCAACTTGTATCGAGGAAGAATGGGTCAGAATTGCCTGTCGCTGATTGCTGAGAACCATGTGCCCGTCTAGCTTTTCTCTCCTTGTCAGCTCCACGCCTCTCCCTCTCTCTATCTCTCTCTGTGGCGATGTAGAGTCGGTTATGGTGCTGTACTTCTGCAACTAGAACTAGACACTCTCTGTCTCTATTTGTACGTATGTCTGTCTGTCTGTTCCATCTGTTCTATCTGTCTGTCGGTCTGCCTGTTCTTTCTGTCTGTCTGTCTGTCTCGCTAGACTCTCGCTGCCTCTATCTGTCGCTTGGTTGGCCTCTCTGTCTGTCTCTGCGTCTATCAGTCTGTTTATCAGTCTGTTGCTCGGTCTGTCTGTCTGTCTGTTTGTCTGTCGGTTTGTTCGTCTGTCGGTCAGTCATGCGGTCTGTCTGTTTGTCTGTCTAGACTGTCTCTGTATATATCTGTTTGTCTGTCGGTCGGTCGGTTGATCGATAGGTTGGTCAGTCTGTCTGTCTTTCTGTCTGCTTGTCTGTTGGGTTGTTCTGTCGGTCGATCTGGTTGGTTGGTCTGTCGGTCTGTTGGTGGGTTTGTCGATCGGTATGTCTGTCGGGCGCACGGTCTGGCGGTTGGTCTATCTGTTGGTCTGCCGGTCTGTCTATCTGTCGGTCTGTTGGTTGGTCCATCCGTCTGTCCGTCTGTCTGTCTGTTGGTCGGTCCGTCCTCCTGCCGGCCTCTCTGTCTGTCGGTCTGTTTGTCGGTCGGTGTCGGTCTGTCAGTCTGTCTGTCGGTTTGTCGGTTGGTCTGTCCGTCAGTTTCTCTGTCTGTCTGTCTATCGGTCTGTCCTTCTGCCACTCCCTCTGTCTGTGTTGCTCTGTCAGTCAGTTAGTCAGTCTGCCTGTTTGTCTGTTCGTCTCTCTCTCCATCTCTCTCCATCTGTCTGTCTGTTCGTATCTCTCCATTGGTCCGTCGGTATGTCTGTCTATCTAGACTCTCTCTGTCTCTGGATGRCTGGATAACTGTCTGTCTGTCTGTATGTCTGTYTGTCCGTCYGTCTCTCTCCATTTGTCTGTCTGTGTGTCGTTCTGTTGGTCTGTCTGTCTGTCTGTCAATCTGTCTGTTGGTCGATCTGTCTATCTGTCCTTCTCTCTCTCCGGCGCTCTTCGTCTCTCTCCATCTGCATGTCTATCTGTCTGTCTGTTGGTATGTCTGTCCAATAAACCAGACAGACTAGACAGACGGGCTGACGGATAGAGATAGAGAAAGTCGAGACAGACAGACAGACAGGCAAACGGACAGACAGGCAAACGGACAGACCGACCGACAGACTAATAGACGGACTGACTGTCTGTCTGTCTGTCCGTCTGCCCTTCTGTACGCTCGTTTTGTCCGTCTGCCCGACCGTACGTCCGTCTTGTCTGTCAGTCCGTCAGTCCGTCCGTCCGTCTGTCCGTCCGTCCATCGTCCGTGTGTCCGTCCGACGGTCCATCTGGTGGTCAAGTGTGTTGGTCCGTCCATTGGGTGGAGGGCAGACGGGCAGTCTGGTCTGGCCGTCGGTTGGTCGTCTGTCTGTCTGTTGGTCTGTTTGTCTGTCTCTGTCTGTCTGTCTCCATCTCGCTCTCTCTCCATCTGTCTGTCTATTGGTTTGGTGCTGTAGTTTTGAGATTAGCAACTCTCTCTCTCTCTCTCTCTCTCTCTCTCTCTCTCTCTCTCTCTCTCTCTCTCTCTCTCTCTCTCTCTCTCTGTGTTTGTGGCCATGCATACTTGGGTTTGGTTCTGTAGTTCTTCAACTCAAACAGAGCTCAGATGTAAAGGATGGGTATCGAGCCAATTAATGAGGAAAGTATTTGGATGGCTGAACCAAGCAACAAGTCCGCACTTGCAGGTGCTCCCCCCCCAAAAAAAAACCGCACCAGTGCTGTACACGGGACTTTTGAACGAGCAAATATTGATAAACCCATTATAAGGAACATCATTTTTAAGATAATGCTTGATAAAACTTTTGATCCAGTGGGGGCTCATCTGACGAATCTAAAGTTCTGAACAGATTGCTTGCACATTCCAAATTGGGACACAGTGGGGACTTTTCCGTTGACGAATTGGGAGTATACTCTGACGAATCTGAATATTCTAAACAGATTGCTTGCCCAGTCTTTCGAGATGGAATGGAAATGTAGATGAAATGAAATGGACTAAGATGAAATGGAAACATAATGAGATGAAATGAAACCAAGTAATGGAGACAGAAATTACAGGTCGAGTAAAAATGTAGATGAAATGAGATGGAATAAGACGAAATGGAAACATAAGTTACATAACGAGATTAAATGAAAAGAAGTAATGGAGAYGRAAAATACAGGTCGACTATGGTGCATTTTTCATTCTTGAAATGGAAATGAAATGAAAAATAAGAGGAATGGAAATGAAATGCSATGTCTCCTTCCCGTATTTGTTTATGTTTAAGAAGTAAATCAATCAAGGGTAGCTTTGCCGAAGTGTGCATGGAAAAGCACTTGGTCAAACCGAGCAACAAGGTTGAATGGAAACGGAATGAAAAACAAATGGAATGACATGAAATGAAATCGAGATGGAATGAAATGAAATGGTGGAAGATGAAATGGAAATGTAAGGAGGTGAAGTGTAACTACTTGAAATGGAAAGGTAACGAGATGAGCGGGGGCGAAAGTTAATCAAAAATGGAAATGGAATGGAAGTGGAACTGTGGAAATGAAATGAATGGAAAATGGAATGAGATGAAGTGAAAGAAAATGGAAATAGAAATGAAAATGAATGTCTGATTGCAGCCGGGCTCCATTCTCTATGCTTTTCACTGCTGACTGGGTTGTGCCCTGATTGAGCCTCATGATGGATTGATATTTGTAGCTGGGATGTTCCCGTGGTGAAGGCGGGGGGGTGCGGGGGAAGGGGAGATTCATGCAGGGTTGGGTGTGGCTGCTTTTTGTTATGTGCCTGATTGAAACGTCGTACAACAGAGCATCCACACGTTCCCATACACATGCGCAATGACAAAGCAGACTTGGAGAGAGAGCAATCCACGTCAAACCAGATGAGAAGTACACAGCGGAAGCTTAAAACTCGAAGTGAAGTTGAATGTTAATTCAATTYGTAGTTCCTCTTCTTTCCCCAATGCAATCAACTGCACCCAAATTCCAAGAATCCCAACCGTGTTGAAACAACCCCGAGGGAACTCAAAAAGAATTTTCAACAAAATATATGGAGACTGCTTCTTCCTCCTASATCATCYTTCAACCTCGGCTAYGGTGCCCATCCTCATTACTAACGCCCTTCAGCTCAAASCCTGMAGACCACCAGTGCCAACTGGATCCCTATCTGCTACGGCGCMTGRGAGGATTCCCTGCAGAAACTCAGCGCTGAGTCAGCGCGCACTTAGAAGGGGCAGCGCCAGCCTCTAGGTGAAGAGAACCTCCAACTTCGACGAAGAAGAAACCACAGYTGCCCAAAACGAAAAAGAACCAAAAGGCCCACAGTCTTTGACTSTATCCTATTTCTAGACTCTCTGACCTAYARGATCGGACYCAAGGACCTAACAAAAACAACGGCCTACACTTTCCAGTAATGGTGGCACCAGTCCGAAGCTGTAGTGGAAATGAGTTAGGGYCTGGGAAAATCAGGGGTTTGCAGAAATGTCCCCGTAGGAACCAGGTCAWTTTTTTTGCAGTTACCGGTTTGGACCTAGAACTTAGGAAAGTCGCAAAAATGACCCTGTTACTTTACAACCCACTGAGAATCTGCACGTTCGTTGCAGTTTGCTGGGTATTTTTTCTTTTTTTTCTTTTGGTACAGAAAGGTTATGTTTCTCAAAGCTACCCCTTCTATCCTCTGCCCCCCCCTCCCAGCCCTCTTGAACACTCCCTGCTTGCTTGCTTGCTTGCTTGTTGCCCCGAGTACTCCAAACTTCCATCATGCTCTTGAGCAAGTAGGATAAACACTTTGCATTTCCTCTACCATTTTGCCTTTCTCTCTCTGTTGGATGGATGCATCCCTACAAATACAGAAACCGCTAACGYGAGAATTGGCCGATCYAGGCCACCCACGGTCCTACCGGCCCGACRGTCCGGATTTTCACGCAATCTTAAAACTTTAAGACTTTAAGATCGCGCGAAAATTCGGACCGTTGGGCCTGCCGAATGGCCTGGATCATCGCGCGATCTTAAAGTTTTAAGATTGCGGGACGATCCTAGCCATCRGTCTGGTAGGACCACGGRCGGCCTGGATCGGCGTGCCCGTTGAAAAGCGAGCGTGATGACTGACCCTATCTTTGGCGGCACACATGWAAGATAAGTAACACGTTCTGCCAGGATAAGGTAAAATGATGATGGTGCCAGAAATCGAGAAAGGGGGCAGAAACAGGCTATGGTGGTTTCATTTTTCTTTCCTTACTGACTTTGATCATGAAAGGGAGAAGAAGTGACATGACGATGGGATATGATGATGGGATTGGAAGAACTGGAAGAGGTGGGGGGATCAAAGAATTTGACGAGGGGAAGTGTGACAGTACGGGTGGAGGGGGAGAAGGTGGTGGTGGTGGGGGAGGTGGAGGAGGAGGAGGAGGAGGAGGG